GATTGTGAAAACTTATGGAACTTTTGAAACATAATTTAGCTAACAGAAAAAAGAATTCTGAGATTAAAAATTTAATATGATAAATACAACAAAACAGTTTAATAAGCTAATTAATTAATGTGACTCAATTAATGACTCTTTCATAGTGTGATTATTTTCAATCTTAAAATCAAAGTTAACTGATTGCAATTATTAATCAAATTAGTTTTTATAATGTTATATTGATAAGTATCAATTAATCAAAATTACTTGCAAAATCTAATCTAGGACTTAAAGTATGGATTGACAGACAGTAAACTATATTTTTAAAGAACGTTTATTAAAGTTTAACTCGATAAAACATTTGTTTTGCACTTGTAAAATTACGTTTTGAATTCATAATTATTCAGTAGTAAATTCTGTATTTCCAACAATAATTTATAAGAAAAAATGGAATCATATATTATTTCTTTTAAAAATATATGTATAAATTCTTAGATATAATAAAATTTTACTTTTTATGTTTTGATTAATAATAATTATTACAATTAAATAATCTTATAAAAAGTTATGTACAGAAAAAAGTTAGAAACAATAATACAAATATATATTTACACACAAGTATACAATTTATATAATAATAATCTACAATTGCATTATAAGTAATATGGTTTGTGTAATGTAAAAACGTACAAAAATAACTGTTTAAAAAGTTTTTCATATTTCTGAAATTTTTTCTGTTTCTGGATTTAAATGAAGATATTCCGCAACAAAAACAGTAATTATTTTATTTAAATTATTGATAGTTGGGTGATGAAGGTTTTCACGGTTATCGCTTTCTCGGTGCCACACGGAAGGAAATGGGGACGGAATGATATGAATTATAGGCACATCTAAAATGAAAAAGAGATCATATTAATGAAACATAAATACTAAGAAAGAAATTACTGATTTAGATAATCAATGCTTATAATTGTTATTAAAATTATTTTATAAAAATAATTATTGAAATTTAGAAAAAAGTGCTTTGTTTCCTTCTACAATTGGTATCATATAAATGGTTATATTAATTTGAGCTATCAATGTTATAGCTCTAGACTGCATGCACATGACAATGATAAGGAATAAATATTGGCTACACCATTATCCTGCTGTCTTTTTTCTAGTATTAACTATAGATATTTACTTAAAGGACAAATTGGTAATCTGATAGCATGTTCTCTGACAACATTCTGATTTCAATTAAATAATCAGTAGTTAGTAATTACAATTTTTTAAAATCAATTTTGTAATTACAGTGGATGATTGGTTAATGAACAATTTGGACTATGAACAAATTGTATAACGAACACTTTTGCGAAAGATTTTTATGTTCGGACAACAAACATCTCACAGAACAAACACAAGAAGAAGCGATGTAAAATAATGAATACTGATTGGTGTTCCCTTGTCTTTGGGCAACAATTTGAAACTTTTCAGAGCACAGGAAATGTCGACATCAATGCTCAACCCTGTATATACTGATCGGATAGTATTCTCCAAACTTTGAAACTCTCCCTTGTAATTCCAGCCTTTTATTTTTCTGACAGAAAGAATTTTTTAAAGCATTCATGAGTCTATTAGGCGGGCACTCATTAAGTTTTGTGTCAGTTTTTATTTTCAAAAGGTGAGACTATAATAGCAAAGGTAGAGGGTGGGCAGATGTCTGATGCTGCTGGGCAGTATGGCTCGAACAGGTCTACAGTAGGCTGCAGTTCAATCTTATCTCAGAAAAATACAGTATAATCAAGAAGACTCAAGCAGCTAAAGGAGTAACAAAAATTACATCTGAGAAATAAACATTGAAGAGCTCATAATGGAACCTGAAACTGATCTGACGACAGAAGAACGCCAAGAACTCTTGAATGAAGAACACTAAGACACTTGGTGAGATATATTTTCTTCTGAAAAAGAGGACCAATGCTGACATCTGCTATTAAAGATCTTTTGAAGAAGTGGGAGGATGTCGGAACAATGGTCTTAGAATGGCATCCAAACCAGGTTGAGGTTAATAGGCTTAGGGATCTCTACAACAACAATGCTATTAATTAATTCCAAAAAATTCTGAAGAGAGAAAAGCAATTGATATTGGACAGATTCTTTAATGNAACGTATTTTATTACATAACGTTTATTTTATTTTATAAACTTTTTAATATATTTATTTTATATTATTTAAATTTGAAATGATTAATAACTTGAGTTTCAGAACAATCTTAAAGTTGATATTTTTATTGAGCCTTAACTACATTACCGGATTATAGTGTTTAATAGATTAATAAGAGACATTTTAAAAAGTAAAATAAATGAGCTTGACCAGCTGTTGTTACAATTTTGTTTATGGAATTTTTGGGGGTGATGCCATTTATATTTCAGTAAACAAATTGTTGCAGAACGTAACAACCCTTCCCAGATCGACGATGTTATTGTATGCCTTGGGTGATTTGCTACAATCATCTATTTATATATAGGCATAACTTATCATCATCAGTTATAGTTTTGGAATATGTAAATCGTATTTTCTTCATTACACACTTCGTGTGATCATGCGCTACATCCAGGGCCTTCGAGAACTTGTATGGGGCTAGGAGCAGACCGGTTCCTTTTTACCCTTTAGCGGGCCCCTTTTGCCATTGTTGTTTTGAATAAATGAAATACGTAGGCTGTTTCTCTATTAATGAAACGTAATTTTAAAGATTTTATTTATTTATTGTTAGTAAAAACAACATTAATTTATACAGATACGAATCACTACGGTCCCCTAAGATTTTTCCAGCATCTCCGACGGTCCTGATTACACCAATTTTTTCTCGTTATTTGGCGTTTGATTACGGTTCGAAACGCCTAAGACAGAAACCAGAACTTTCTGTCTCCGCAACTTCTTATCATTCATCATCAGATTTCTTATCCATCCTATCAATTTTTCGTTTGTAATTGTGCAGGTTCGTTACTTTTAATCTGGAAAATTCAGATCAGTTTACATAATCAAGGTATCCTATATGAACAAACATTTGCTTTTTATTTTCCCCCAAAAATTTAACAATAAACAAAATAGTTTATCTTTTTAATCAAAACATGTTCATAGTGTTTATGTAAGTTATATTTGTCATTTTTAAAATAATTGTTTTAATACTCTCTGCTTATGAACATTGGAGAGGACAAGTTGTTACAGTGTAACAACATGCTCCTAACCATGCTGTATCAAACATCCCCAATCTATGCGTTCGGCCATTCGATGCTGTCACTGTTAAACTAACAAAGCATCGAGCAAATCAATTCACAAGATCTGTTTCCTAGATTATAAACACTTCACACTGTCATTTTGATAATTATATCTTTGTTACAGACTTTCAGAAACAGATTTCTTTGTGCCTAAAAGTAGAGATTAAGTACAGAAAATAGGACCTATCTCGCTAACACATGCAACTAACTCGAAGCAGCCAATTCGGTTAGAAGAAAGATCCCACGATAAGGGAGCTAAGGCAGAAAAGGGACATTGCTGTTTTTTAAAAGTGTTTGTAATAACCAGCTCCAGTCTCCCCTAATTTTAAATTATAACTAAGAATTTTTACAACGACTGGCTCCTAACTCGAAGAATTGATCGTAACAATGAATGTATTTATCTATATCGGTGCGTGTTTATGTGCCCTACTTTTAATCTAACATCATTCTATTTATCTAAACAATAGTAAGCAACTTTTAATTACGATTTAATAGTTTGATTTAAGAAAAAAATAGCTTAATAATAGAATATCCAAATTAATTCTCTTGAGTATTCAAGCAATCCAATTGTATCAATAACATGTCTATTCAGAAACTTATTTTTAATAAGATAAATATAATAGTTGAACTGTTAGAGCCGATATATAAAAATTCTAATTTAGAGATAACAATAAGAGATTACAGGCACGATGTGGTAATTATTTGCGGTTAATTGCGAAACAAGCAAGCTCATTAACTTGCGATTTAACATGTTATTTATTTTAAATTATGAATTATGTAACTGCATAACTTGTTTATAATTCTCTTACATTCGGTATGGGAAGACGACGGATTTATAATAGATAAAAAGCGTTTAAACAAATTTATAATTCAGTTTTGTACTATTAAAACTATTACTTTTAGTTGTATATGAAAGGTCAAAGGGCATCACTATGGAAAATTTGTATTTAGTGGAGTAGGCCTATTAAAGAACCAGAATCTTGTGAGTTCATCTTGCTCTTTTCTGTAATAAATTGAATTATTATAGATTATATTTAGCTCCACAATACTATTTTGTAATCATTAAAATCACTCGAATATTTCTAAACTTACGACCATAGGAAAAGTATTGATTCGGTATTAACAGTTGTCATTATAAATCGATATTAATGTATTCTAATTGAATATTCAAGAAAATAATGCTTCTGATAGTTATGCTAAATAAGATATAATTATCTATTCGTAGCATATACCTGGACAGGAAAGGCAACAACATCTATAAGCTTTAACAGATGAAAAGATACACTTTTATTCACGAGTCAAGGTTTTATTGTTAATTAACTGAACCTGAGACTTATTAACTATGCCTCTTGTGTCCTTTAATAGTAGAATTTGGATCCTAGATTTAAATATTTATTAATAATTATAATGCTCTGAACTCCTTTTTATTGAGGTCAATGGGTCTATATATAAAGAACAGTAAACAGCCGCTTGTTTACAGCATCCTACTTAATACCTGGTGTTAATGTTATAGTATAATTGTATAAATGACATCTTTAAGTATTATATTCTTCTGTTATTTAGATATTATACTGCAAAAAAGTATATATACAGATGCAAACGACAATTTACAAGCTTGTGAGAAGTTGGGATTCAATTTAAGGTAGTAGCGGGGGGCCTAGAGGACCATTACTTTTAAATAAACAGAGGAAAAAGGTATTAAATAAGTGTATAAAGTAGATTTACATGCGATATATATAATTATACATATATATATGTAATATGCTTATATATATCCACACTAGTATAGGGTTGAATGTAAGTTTTCACGTTCAAATTCGGGCCTNCAGAATGGATTAATCAAATTCCCATAAAAATTTTTGGTAAGTTGATAATCAGTTAATGAATAATTCAGATAGCAAACACAGTCTTGGAACAAATTGTTCATTAACTGATCACCCACTGTAATTACAATGGATTCAAACATGTAATAAAATAAAACAGAAAAAGAAAGATACAGAAACAAGGCATTGCAACTAGAAAAATTTGCATGCTTTTAAAATTTTCTCTACGTAACTAGTTAGTTCAGCAATTGGATATTCTAAATTGCTAATTAACAAATTTGAAAAGATAAAGAAAATTTATTGGAATGAGTGATAAATAATATTGTGACGGTCAAGTTAAGAAGACTGGAAACAAGATGGAGTTATGGAGGTTTATCGCAAGCATTGATTACTGTTAATACTGAATGATGATAATAGTTTAGACAGAGAATGATCTGAAAATTAAGAATTTTCGTAATTTCATAGGTTTGTATTTCCTCTTAATTTTAAATGCAACAAAAAAGAAAACATTAATAACTTTTGAGTTATATAATATTGTTTGCCTGGATTTTATCAAATAAGGAACAAGAAACAGTTAAGTTAGCAACAAATGTTTATCAACACAAAAACTGGATGGAAATGACTACTTTATTGAAGAAAAAATTAAATAAAAGTTACCAAAGCAACTTGATTTAACATTCTTCACAAAACATAAGTCATCATTGCAAACAGTAATATAGCTAACCATTGTTTTTCATCTATAACCACATTTTATCAGAGACAAAACAACACTAAGGTTTATAAAACATTAGCATTTATAACATTACATTTATACAAAATGCATAGTAATAAATGCTAACATTTTGTAAACCTTAGTATTGTTTTGTCTGATAAAATGTGAGTAGTAGTGGTTTGACACACACTAATCACAAAAATTCATTTTTGAGTAAATTACAATGGAATTAAATAACGGAATTATTTCTGAGTATAAAAATTTGTCTACAATTTGAAATTATTTTTTGGAATTTTTTTAATTTTTACATTACATGAATACAGTTTGTTTATTTAATACAGTTCATTTAAGTGTTTCCACTTTTTCCTTCAGTTTATCTAAAGCAATTACAAAACCAAGCTTTCCATCTCCTTTCCATATTTCTCTGTTAACTTTAAAATATCGCAAAACAATAGAAAAATTATCGGGAATATCGAAGGAAAAATTCTTCACTGCAGCAACACAGCTATCCAACGACTCGTACGAACGAAAAGAAACAGAATAATTTCTGTCTCTGTTGTAGGTAATAATAAAACTGTGTTAAAATAAATTCTAACATATCTTAAAATTTAATTTATATCAAAAACCAACCAATCACATTTCTTATGTAATTAATTCAAGTATTGTAAAAGGTAAGTATTTATAAACAGGACAATTTATTTGTAATTTTTATTTTAAAAATTAATTTTTGTGATTAGTGTGTGTCAAACCACTACTACTTATGCCCCTAACACTTAAATACTAAAAGTTTTAAAATATGAAATAAGCTCTATGAAATAAGATAAACCTAGGATTAACCAACTAATGCTAACTTTATCCAAGGCTTTTAGTTAAAACAAGTAATGATCTATTAATTTTGAACTTTATCTGTACAAAGTGTGTTTTATGTAAGTCACAAGCATGCCTAGGATAAACTGAAATTATCCAAAAATAGATGGATGGAGAACAAAGCTTAAAATTCAGGCTTTATTCAGATAATTATGGATAGAGCTAAATATAGATGTTGCTTTTTTATAAACTGAGCATTTAGTTTTTTTAGTTATTACATGGATAGTGGAAACAGGGCAATGTTGCTAGTTTTGGCAATTTTAAAGCCTGGTAATATGGTGACAATTTTTTCAATTTAATGATTTTTTTCATGCCTACGATAAACTTAAAAACACTTGTAAACTCCAGGACTACACTGTATTAATGAAAATGAAGATATACAAAACTATGACAAGACGTCTTAAGTCTTTTTGAACAAAAGATTATTTTTAAAAATAATCTTTTAAAAATAATTTTTAAAAATAATCTTTTGTTCAAAAAGACTTAAGACATCTTGTCATAGTTTTGTATATCTTCATTTTCATTAATACAGTGTAGTCCTGGAGTTTACAAGTGTTTTTAAGTTTATCCTAGGCATAAAAAAAATTTTTAAAAAAATATTGTGACACTACCTTTTATTTAAGGCTAAGTTCCATAAAAATGCAAAAATACTAAAAGTTTTATCAGAGAATATTTTTTGCTTTTTAAATTGTATTTATTACTACGGTCAACTCCTCTAGATGTTACTTAAGATCTATGTACTGTACATAATGATAGTTTGTAAATCAAAGTACTTCTTATTGTTACTTCAAGCTATGATTTTTAAGTTAAGCTTGACAATGTTTTAGTGAAATAACTGGCAAAACTTATTTTCATTCATTTAATTGTTTTTATATGATAGAGAAGTAATAAATTATAATTGATTTTAAAAATAAAATTCCTTCTTTTATTCATCCAACTTGCATTGGAAAGAATGCAAAATATTTAACTAAAATAAAATGCTAAATTTTCTCTTCACTTTATCCAAAATGGGATGATGTTTACAAACAACCAATAAGCTTTACTAACTAGCATCTTAACCACCTACTTCCAGCAAATTTTTAATATCTTATTAATTAATTAGCCTTAATGTAGTCCAATAAGAATCTGTAGTTTGGTTGTTTATCTAAAATGGGATGAATAAAGCCTGAAATTTAAGTTTTACTTTTGCTTCATTTATCTATTTTTGGACAAAGTCTGCATTATCAGTTTTTAACTTAGTTTATTCAATTCATAAGCAGATGAAGCTTGTTTAAAACAGATAAAGTTCCAAACAGATTGTTACCAGTACTTGCTTTTACCAAAAGAGTTAGATAAAGTTAGCATTAGACAGTAAATCCTAGCTTTATCTGATTCATGGGCTTTAGCCATTACATAGTATTTTCAAGTTATGTAATTGTTAGTATTAAAATAAATTTATGTGAATCTTAATTCTATTATAATCTCATCTCTGAATGATTTTGTTTAGAATTTACTTAAATATAACTACTATACATGCTGTATATAAAAATAATAATTAATGTTTATATACTGATTTTAATAAAAATTTAATTAATTACTTACTTTTTTTCATAAATGGAATGTGATCATCTTCAATAAAAGACAAAGTAGAATATTTACTGAAGTAATTTGTTTTTACTTCAGGAGGATGACTTTCTATATGTTTTAAAGAGTTCAACTTTTGTTCTATTAAGGAAAAATTTTTTGTTAATTTATATTTTAAAAATATTTCAAAAAGTAAATTTATAGTAAAATTTTTTTGTATATCCTTCAATTTACAAGTAATTTAATTTATTATTCTAATTCTAATTTATTATTATTATGAAAGTAAAACAGTCTTTAATTTATTAGTTTTAATTAAATAAGTGTTTACTTGGTCCAAAACAGTTTTACCCAGTATTCAGTCTGTAATGTTCTTAATAAAGTTTAAATTGCTTAAAATAAAAATACTTCACAAGTTTTCTTTAATAAACAAAATAACTAAATAATTTTTATTTTAAATAAGAATTTTAAGTACAAAGTATTTTATTTCAAATTTATCTTAAAAAAATTATTATTTTGTTATAAAAATTACATTGGTCATCAGAAATCATTGTTTTTTTTTGTTTATGAAAGTAATTTTATTATTATATTACAGTAGAGTATCGATTAGCCAAATATCAATCAACTGAAATGTCAATTAACCTTTAATTGTCATTTCGCTTTCCAGTCAGCAAATTTAAATTTCCGCTAGTGCTGTGGCACTGCAATCTTTGGCTATGTCTTGAGCTACTCCAATATTATTTTTGTTGGTGTGGTGTTTTAGCTGGCAGCACTGGTGCGATCATGAGAGGGTACTTAAGAATGTACCAGGATTTGAATGAATTTCAACATGGATAGTTTAATATATTTTTTTGTACATAACTGGTTATCTGAAAAATCGATTTTCTGAACAACCCCAGTCCCCAATTGATTTGGATAATTGATGCTCTACTGCATTTGGTTCAAGTGTTAGAAATAATATTTATTTAATATCATGCTTTTCATTTAAATTTGTAACTTTAATTGTTTGTAATTTTGTAATTGTGTCAGGATTATTAATTATATTAATATGTTCACTTTTGATTCAGTATTTGATGTCAAAGAATATTCTTGAATATTTAAGTGTAATTTAAATATATTCTAATAACAACTTACCTGCATTAACTAGTTCCATATAAAGTGAATGTGTATCTGGAAAATAACTATGAAATGAAGGATTTGATGAACCAATCAAATCAAGTAAAACAAGAACATCCTGTAAAAAAAAAAAAGACAACAAATTATTATTTCAGTTCTGTTTAATGTTAAATGTGATACAGTTAATATATAATGTATTTTATGATATACAGTATATTAAATTTGAGGAAAATTGATTCTGTGAAAGAAAATAAAAATCCAGAAAAGCATATTTTAGATTTTAATTGTAATTATCATTTTAAAAAATCACTGATAACAGATCAATAACTAATTATAAATAAAACAATTTTTCAATATAACAGTAACTATTATTTCTTAAATAATATTAAAATGAATATATGGACACATTTAATACAATAAAAACAACAGAGAAGAAGAAATTAATAAATATAATGTTTATCAAATGGCCTGATAGGAATATTCCTGTATAGACAGGCTAGATCATAAGCATACAGTCCAACAGTAAGTCTGTTTATAAACATAAATGGCATTTTTTGACAAATTGTAATATTTTTAAGTTTAATAAACATACATATTAATCAAAGATAATTTTTTCAAGCATGAAAAATATTTATTCAAAGAAAACTTCATTTTATAAGCAAACAGTACAAGTGTGAAAGCAATAAATTTTTATTTTCACATCTATATGATACTGAAGATAAATACAACAAAGCTAGAACAAATAACTTCAAATCAATACCTTTCACACTTTTCCAGTGAGAGGTTTATTTTAACATATAAACAAACAAATTTTTTTGGATTATTTCATAAACCTGCTTTAGTATATATATAACATCTCAAAGCCCAAGAGTTATATTAAAGCCAAATGGATTGCCAGATTAAATTGGGCTAAATCACCACTAATGGAAGTGCTTAATGTCTACCTCTAGTGACAAATTATTCTATATTTAATAACTAATAGTAATGGTAATGTAGTATGATTTAATCTGGCAATCATTTGACTTTAACCTGCTTTAGGTTTATCATTTGAAAATGCATTTTAAATTCCACACAGGAATGTTTACACATGTTCTACGACATTACTGTTTAAATTTTAAAATATTCATACCTTAAGAATGTTTAATTTTAAAATACAAAGTATAACTTAAAGATTTCGAAAAAATGATTATTGAACATATTTAAGCACAGTCTTAATAATTTGAATTTTCTCTGTGTGTAAAGTTGCCCTTTGTTTCTTATGAGTTATCAAAGATTTCTATGCACTAGAAAAGGAATCAGAGTCTATATAGTTTAATATATCTACTTTTTAGCATCGCCTAAAACAGGTTTATGAAATAAACTGAAAACATTTGCTTGTTCATATCTATATCTATACTATTATATAAAGAGACAATGTATTTTTCGTTTGTGACCACTAACCGTGAAAACTACTGAACCAATCGTTACCAAATTTTAACTGTAGCATCTTTATGACCCCCGGAATGTTTACCACTAATCAAACCTGCAGATTTTTTATTAATTAAATAAAACTACAATGGATTTTTGTCTAGGGTTGGCTTATATGTCCAACAGATGGCGCTACGAGTATGACGCCCTAAGTTTGCTTTTCTGTGAGGATGGACTAAAGTAGATCATCATCTATCTATCTATATAAATAAAAATGTAATGTTCGTTTGTTCCTACCAATTCCTTTGAAATTTTCACACAACGCTGCATTCGAATACGCACGTGTTTTTATATAATATATGTGTCAAAATTCCCCCCACTGGGGGGAGATGAACAGGATTAAGGCTTACCATAAAGAACTCTGCTTCTATTTCTACTATTTTAGATGCGGTTTTTTGTGTTTTTGATTCCGTTTTAATACGGTATGTCAACAGAATATACACTAAAAAGGAATTTTTCAATATTCCCCCCGTGGGGGAGAGGGACAGGATTAAGGCTTACCTTGAAGAACTTGATTTCTATTATACTGTTTTAGATGCGGGTTTTTGCGTTTTTGATTGCATTTTAATAGGGCACGCCAAGAGAATGTACATTAAAAAGAAATTTTTCGAAAAATTTCCCTCCACACGGGGGAAGTGTTATACATTTATACACTTTGAGCCACAACAACGCGTGGCGGGGTCTGCTAGTCTTAAATAAACCTCTTGCTGGAAAAGTGTGAAAAGTATTGATTTGAAGACTGAAGACAAAATATACTTACCCTGTAATAAGGGAAAAATGGTTATAAGTATGCCAAAAGATAATATTTATAAATAAATTTGTCTGAGTGAACAAACAAAACACATAAAAGGGACATCAGATGAATCATATTGAAAATCAGAATTAGGTGTAGCAGTATTCAATATAATAAAGAACATATTTAATGTTTTTAAGAATATTTAACATCACTCAAGTTCTAAAACCACAATTCCATTATGATTGACATATTGTTTGGCTACCTTACAGTTTTTGGCTCTTACTGTTCAACTCTATAAATGTTCCATTTTATTATTATAGTAGAGCTGTTACTTTTTGTTTTAATATGTTACAGAAAGCCAGTGACTTTTATTTTTTGTTTTTTAATCTTCCTTACACTTGTAGATACTATCAAATAATTGTATCATCTTCCACTATACTGTCTTACTAGCCTTGTAGTGAAACCATTTCTTTTTGTATTTTCAACTATTATGTATTTATTTCTATGCATTCCTAAGTAAATTTTTATTCAAATATTGTATATTAATTTAAATTAACGTTTTTAATTTTAAGGGTTCTATACTTCTTTGTAAATGCTGAATGTTATCATCCCTTGTAAACAAGTTTTTTTAACTTTAAGAAAAACAAACTGCTAATCTTTTATAGTGGTCCTTTTTGTATTTTAATATATAAAATGCTTTTCAAGCTTATCATCAGATATAACTGAAACTCATTTGATTAAAGAATATCAATTTAAATTTCCTTCTGTCAAATTAATGACATGGGATTGATTATTATCAGTGGCAAGGTTTTTCATGACCCTTTCAGCTCAGTACCCTACTGGAATCTTTTCCCTCTTTCTCATCCCCTCCTCTTTTTCTTCTTTCAGCCTAGAGTTTTGAATAGGTTTTACTACATAACAATATATACTGACAATATAGAATTACTGTGTTCATTTAAATGTTGAGGTATGTTAATGATAATTATCATTGTAAAATATAAAAAATGCAATTATCCAGAAAGAGCAGTATAGAAAATTTTTTAATTTACAATACTTTCCAATTGTTGACAAAATATAATATTAGTAATATTTTTGAAAGTAATCCTTAGCCAGTGAGTTTTGTATGAAGAAATATTTAAGGTTTTATAGTCATATTTATATTGCTATATGAAAAGAAATGCTTATACAAAAACAAACAAAAATAAAAGGATGTTTCTAATAAGCTTTATCCAATTTCAAAAAAAATCACATAAGTATCTTCAGTCATATAACAAGAACTGAGAGGTAATTCTATTCAGGAGTAAAAATACAGTATTTCTGATTTGTATTACCAAACTTGCCTTCAAGTAAATTATTGACCAGATGTTCCTAACTCATCAGATGTATAATTTATCATGAATAATGTAAGTCAAAACACTGTTTCCTTTTTTCAATCTCCCAGCTATTATACATAACTGAGAAAAAGTATGGCAATCAGTCAAAAAATGATCCCTCAAGATTTTTACATTTTTGGACTTAGAACCTTAAAACATTGAGAAATGCAAAAAAAATTTTAAGATAATTTCTATATGTATGGATGTTTTTGTGTATGTGCATGTGCATGGGACATGATTTTGTTCACTCTGTTTGAAGCTTAAAACTCCTGTGCTTTTTGTTGAAAATTTATGAAATTTTGCAGGGAGGTTTGCTTATTGGGGGAATTGATGCTATTAAATTTTGGTGATTAAAGATCAAGAGGGTAAGGAGATAAGGAGAGTTGTGAGTATCCCTGGTCAACTGGAGTAGGGTCAACTTGACAATTTTACTTGTTTTTAGAATTTACAATTTTTTATAAAGCACATCCCTACTCTCAAAATTAAGCCTTTTGCCATTTTATAATAGTTAAAAATATAACAAGTTTTTAACAATAAAATATCATAACATATGACACCACAAAATGTTGCCAGGAAAGTTAAGCAACTCATTATTGAATTTTCCTATCCATAGCAACCAACACTATTGCAAGCCAGGCTACCTGATAACTTTTGACTGCTATAATATGCTAGTCAATTGCATTGGCAAATCAATCAATCAATCTTCAAGAAAATTCAATGTTTAGCTATCTTAACAATATATCTAAGAAAAATTTCTTTAGAATACTAAAATATGATTATCTTTATTTTCAATGGTTTATATCATTATAGTTTTGAATGTAATGGACATATTGTAAAGGCAGGATATCCTTGTATGCAAAGGTATTGTAAGGTGTTTCTATGACACTTTTCACTTTGTAGGTCATTTACTGGACATCTGCTAGAAATTCACAAGAGGCTCGAATTTTCCCACGCGATTAGTTTCCAAACTATTACTATATTTACTATACTTTATGTCAATCTTTTTTAAGTAACATTTCCGGCATCGAACTAAACTCCTACCTAATTCAATCGATCGATCTTTGTTAAAAATGATCAAAAAAAAAAAAAGAAGAATAGTTATCGTGGTTAAAATCGATCCCTCATAGCTTGGGGCATACTTTAATATATAGGTAAAGAGACCAAGGACTTTTCACCTAAGGATCGAATTTCGATCTTCAGCCATTCTTCTAAAAAGTAGAATGCCTTTTTTTAAAAAATATTAAAATAAAATTGATTTTTTTGGTTAATTTTTTACACTATAAAATATTGTAATATTTAAATTTTTACAGTATAAAACAATGTTGTTTATTTAGTGATTAATAAATTTCTTCTCGAATGACAATGATTGATGCTGATGCGTGACAGATAAATTGTTAGGAAATAAACAAAATGTAATTAATTATATTTAAATAAATTATTTTAAACGTAAACATAAGAAAATTTAATTTATAAATATGAATTAAATAAACGAATACGAAGCAGTGTTTTAGTTAGAAAAAGAAGTTTAAAATTCGATCCATTCGTAGCCGATGAATTAGAAGAAGCTTTAACGATAACTAATATTAAATTTTACATTTTTAAATTTCTCATCGAATTGTGTTAAAAAAAAAAAAAAAAATTATTGGTAGGTGGCACAACTGTAGCAGGAGGGCGATGAGATAATTAACAGGGCATACAAACTATTGACAAAAGTCCTATTGTGTGACATAGTAGATAATGGGAGAGGTGGAGAAAGTTTGACGGTGGGGACACAACCCGCACTCCTAACCCCCATGTAGAGTGTCTGGGGTTTCTCCCACGTGTTCTCTACTTGACAAGGAATGATGGGAAGATGGCGGCTAATTTGTCAGATGCTGCGAAAACTCGTACAATCGCCAGCATTGACAGCTGACACACCATGCTAAGCCTATCGACTCTTAGGGCGTCCCGTGTACAGGACGTCTTCACATCTGTCCTCTAACTGTCTATCTTCACCTCCGAACTGAACAAACTTCTCTCTTTTAATGGGGGGTTGAGTGACAAATTTGGTGCAATTGGTACAAAATTGGGAGCAACCTATTTTAATCGAAGACATTTCTAAAGAATCGCAGCTAATTTTGATCCCTTAATAAGAAAAAAAAAAACCTCTTTAACCTCTTTTGTACTATATTCAAAAAAATAGTTTGAAGTTTAGTAAATAAATTGGAATTGTATCTGAATTCTATATGTTGTAAGCGTATTTTTGTAAAGGATTTTTACTTNATATTTTCTAGAATTATAAAGAAATCATTTCTGTAGACTTTGTTTTAAAATTTTAAAATTGTTAAATGATTTGAAATATTAATATCTTAATATTCAAACAAACTGTAATTATAAACTTTTGAAAATAAGATAACTTTTTAGCATTTCAAAATATCAATTTTACACTGTATTAATAATTATACAAATTAGACTACTTATGATACTCTTATGATAAATCATATTTTTAAAATGCAATTAACTTACCATTCGATCCAAAAAACTGACAAAGTCACCATGGTTTTTACAAAAATCTTTTTGCCTTCCTTCTGGAAACTTTTTAGTATTCCATAATTTGGCTAAATGTTTTGATCCATAAAGAGAATCATCTTTACTCCAGCGCTGGAAGGCTTCTTCACCATCAAAAAATATCATTTGAAGTGTAAGTATATCTTTCTGTAATAAATATTAACATATTTAATAAATAAAAGGTTTTTGATCTTAATTTGAAAAATAAATATATTAAAAGATACTTAAAAAAGACAACTGAAAAATTAAATTTATTAATTATAATTTAAATCTATCTACAAATTCATTCCTATTAGTTTTACAAAATAAAATTAATTTTCATATTTATCAGATTCAAAAATACTGTAAAGAAAATAAATAATGTAAAATTTATGTAAATGTTTCCAGACAATAAAATTATTCAGAATGTATTCAAATGTTCCATTAAAAGAACAAGTTCACGCAAAATATGCAGGCTTCATAGATACAATAATAACATGGGATTGCTTCTGCTGCAGTTTAACCATCATGGACAGTTTGTTACAGTTTTAACTGTGTGATACTGAAGGTTAGTTCACACTGAGAGAATAGCAAGAGCAAATAAAAAAAAAACAAAAAGCAATTTTTATTTGCTTAGTGAAATTGATCCACACAACCAAAAGCAAAAAGAAACTGAATTTTAAGCAGCCAATCATTTGCAAGCAAGAGAAAATGTGATCTCGAAAAACAAAATGGCTGCTTCCAATATTCTGTTGTTAACCATGTCTGTTTATTTATTGAGAAAAATAAAGATACATCAAAAAGAAAACAATTCTGAGTGAATGGAATATTAAAAAACCATAAATTACAACATCTACTCTATTGAGTGAGAAAGTTTCTGTAGCCATCTTGAAAACAACAAGAACTACACAACAACTAACAGGAATATGATTGGTGGCAAAAAAGCTTGACAGTTCTGAACTTCAAAACAATTCATGAAATAGTAAAATTTGCTGGAAACAACGTCATCTGTAGACTACTATTCCTGGTGTTGAGTTTCACAACAAATTGTTTAAAGGAAGCTTCAAAAAGCAATCTTTTTGTCAGATGCCCAATATGTTGTGTTCCATTGACCTCTACACACAAAAGAGTTTGTTTAAGGTAGTGTCAACAACATTGCATTGGACTTTCAATGACTGTCAATATTCTGTTCATTGTCCAGATATAGTTTACAGAATGATTCTTGACAAATTACAATATAGAGAAAGTAGGAAACTCAATACAATAGCACTGAAAAATTAAATTTATCAATTATAGAACATTGTGGAACATTGTGGAAACAGACCAGTTTTCAGGTGATGATATGATCTGTAGTGGAATTTATGCTTAATGGCCATACTGAATACCACATTTTTGGTTACCAACCTTTGGTTGGCGATATCATACCCATGTTCCTGTATCCTTTTGCTTAGTGAGCACTTCGTGGATCCAATGTATACTAGATAATACTGGAATCTGTGGTCTCTGAGAGAAACCATATAGACAGACAGTGCCCGACTTTCCTTGGTCCTGTCTTTGTCATTGCGCAATAGCCCATATACTGTGCTAGATCTCTTATTGCCTATAAGAGATCTAGCACAGTATATGGGCTATTGCGCTTTTATGGTTAGCAATCTCTTTATAGATGGAGCTTAGTGCTGGTTGTATTGTACCACCATACGTGATTGGTTGATGCTGTGATTATGGATGTCGTTGGGCTTTACCTCTGTGTTATGAGTATGGCGCAATAAGTTATGTATCATGCATCTACCATACCCATGTCTTACTGCTATGTTTTCAAAGCGCTTCAATTCTGCCACCATATCCTCCCATCCCTAGTGTGGTGCACACTAGGGATGGGAGTATGCCCTTCTAGTTAGCACATGGAATGCAGAGATCTCATAAGAAAAATGGTCAGCAGAGTTCGACAGAATAAATATTGGTACATAGAAAGGTATGTAATGTATGCTGGTTTGCACTCTGCCTGCGTCCAGGTAAATGTTGAAATCTAGAAAATGCGCATTTGTGTCACTCTTCTGATCTAGCTTGATTGTAAGGCCAAATGGGTTGTTGTTCATGGAACCTATGAAATCATTTACATTGGTCTCAGCCTTCCAAAGAATGAAGATGTCATCTACATACCTTTCGTAAACTAGAATGTTTGGTAGGAATAGAGGTATGACCTTTTGCTCCAATTGTTGAACCACCAATTTGCACAAGTCCCCTGAAAGGGTATGCCCCATTTTTTGTAAATAAATACCGTTATTGAAGCAGAAGAATAAGGTATAGCATAAGAGGTGCATTAGCTCTAACACATGTTTATAATGCGTACTCACCCCTTCACAGCTTAATAACAGATCCCTGAGAGCACAGAAGCATGATTATATTTTAATCAAGAGGTATAGGGAGACAAAATCCAAGATGGTAATGCATGCTATGTCTGCTTCCTTAACTTGTTGTAAAATATCAATTAGTTCATTGGAGTTCTTGACATTCCAATCATACCCCTTTAAGTGCTCAGATATAAAGTTGTGTACCGCACTGTCAAGCAACCTAGTAGGAAACCTAGATTTATCTAGAACAGGTCTCAGGGAAGGTATCAGTTTATGCATCTTTGCAAATGCAAATAGTCTAGGAATATCGGGCAAGGCAACCACCACCCTGTTCAATCTCCACACCTTGGCCAAGGGAGTTTGTGTGAATTATTTCACACAAACTCCCTTGTAACCTATTTAGGTATGCATCATTGACGGGTTCACAGTCAGTGTCTATGAAGTACTGCTGCATTAGGGATTTGTAGATATCCTCCTTCAGTAAGACATCCTGATTCTGCAAGAAGTTGAAATAGTTTTTTATTGCTTGTAGTGCCAAAAGTACAGAGTAGTGAGAAATAAATTTCCCACTTCAGAGAGCTCTGGAGTGTATTCTACTGCTTGAAATGAGACAAAATTTCAACTACAGATAATTCAAATAATGCACTTGACATTTCTTAAATAAAAAAAATAATGCAAAAATCTGTCAATAGGTGCTCTGGAGCACACAGAAATAATAAATATGCATGCACATACAAATGTTGAATATGTAGCACTAAAACTGCTCAATATGTTCTCCTTCGTTTTGAACAATGTGCTCTAGTTGCAAAAACCATATTTTCCACAGCTGATTGCAGTGAATCTGCAGAATATCCAGAACATGGTGATGAATGCTGTCCTTCAGATCAGAATAGATGCAGGTCTTCTATGGTACTCATTGTCCTTCAGGAAATCCCATAACAAAAAGTCACAAGGGGTGATATCTGGCGAGCGAGGAGGCCATGTTGTAGGAAAATAATGGCTGATTACCCATGCATCTGTGAAATGCCGTCTTACTCGTTAGTATGGTTTTGCGATTAGGGCACATTGTTCAAAATGAATGAGGACATATTGAGTAGTTTTAGTCCTACATATTCAACATTTATGTATGCATGCATATTCAATATTTCTGTGTGCTCCAGCACCACTCATTAAAGAATTTTTGTACTATTTTTTTTATTTAAGAAATGTCAAGCACATCATTTGAATTATCTGTAATCCAAATTTTGTCTCATTTTGAGCAGTAGAACGCATTCAAAGAATTCTCTGAAGTGGAAAACTTATTTCTCACTAACCCTGTACTATAGTGGTGAGTTTTGTTACTTTTTTTTATGGAAATGTATTCCTTATGTCCTGAAATGTCATCATAAGAAATTTAGTTGTATTTAAACTACGAAATATTTCTCTAGACAGTATCGGTTTATAAAATATTCTTTCTGTCTTATATCACAGTACTTCCAAGATAGTACTACATACCGAAACCAGATATAATATTCCCATCCATTTTTAAATTAAAACCATTGTACACATTTTTACTACTTTATTGCATGTTTTACTGTCTGTTTCGATATTAAAAATGTTATTATTGTAGATCTGAATAGAACTACCCTCTACCCACATTGCTCTTTTAATGGGCCTAAAAAATATATTTTTCCTAGAGCCTTGCAAAAAGGTATGATTTAGCAATGACATTATAATTTGGCAGCCTTAATTAAAAGATAGTATCAGACTGCATGTGAGAAACATTACAAAGAATCAATTACAGCTTGCCATTGAACACACTGTTCATCACCTTCATAATAGGGACCACATTAACCAGTCATACTATACATACCTGGTCATACTATACAGAGACCTTGCTAAGGTCTCTGTATAGTATGACCAGGGCTGGATCATCGCATAGACAAATGAGACAAATGTCTAGGGCCTGGTCAAACTGTCTATTTTGAAAAGATTTGTAAATAAGATAGTTTACTTTTCTATTGGACAACTGTATATAATAGCCAAATAAACAAAAATATATTGCTTTTTATATGGTTATTGTAAATTCTAAAATTGCAAGAAAATGTGTTCTTATGTTTCTTCTTATTGAAAGTAATTCATTCTCAGTATTAAAACACGTAAAAAATTATTTACGAAACTCACTGAGTGAATCAAAATTAAATTCTTTAGCTGTTTTATACATCGAACAAAATGCTTTGGATAATATTAATTATAATGATATAATTGATAATTTTGCTGAATTAAAGACTAGAAAACACAATTTTTAAATAAAGTTTATTCATATTTATATACCATATATCTGCACAGACAAGACGATAGTTGAATCATAAAAAAAAAGACCCCCAAAATCCGGGGTCGTCTTATAGGACAGATAAAAAAAAATTAGATTGAAATTTATATAAATTAAAATCATTATAAAAAACGGAAAAACCATAATTATTTACTAGTAGAGAGTAGGATATGACCACAAAACAGAATAGCCCATACGACGTTTTTGTGAATAGTCAAGGTCATTACCTGAATGCCCGAATCAGTGTGAATGTTTGCAACAATAGCAAGGCAGTGCTGCCAGATGCAAGAAAATATTTAATTTTCAAACAATTTTTTCAAAAAATTACGAATAGGACATAATTCTGTATACACTATACAGTGTTATTATCCAGATGATGACGATCGCTGATCTAAACTAAATTCATAGGCCATTGAAATTTTGGGGGTTGTCTTATAGGATAGATATATGCTAAACTTTGACGAAAATTTATACCTTGTCTTATCTGAGCAGATACATGGTACTTACTTTTTTAAAACTATCTTGGCTTTTATTTAAATTATCTTTTTCATTATTCAATTTACCTTTCATGGGTAAAATATTATATTATTTAAATATTAACCAAAAAGATTAAATTAAACAATTAATATTTTAAGGTAATATTGTTATTGTATAACAACTTTTGATAGATATTTAATAAAATAAATTTCAATTTTTTTAACTTTATAAACAAACTGTTCAAACTTTTCTAGAAAAACTAAAATTTATTGTTGTATATTAAATATTTTTTATTAATAAAATTTAAGATCTGTTTTAGTTTTTTACATTATTTAGTTTTGTTTTATTTATTGTTTTATATTTTTTGTGTGCTCTATTTCTTGTGGGAGAGAGAAAGGACTTGGTAAGAATAAAATGTCTAGGGCCCCAAAGTGGGTTAATCCGGCCCCGAGTATGTCTTGTACAAATAAAATGTCACTTGTAACACCAATAGTGCTATTCTGTACAATAGTGCTAAGTGATGAGTTTTGATACTAATTTTTTACTAAAAATGATCTTAAGTAAAAAATTTTTTAAAAACCCAGTTGACGGTACAGTAGAACCTCGAAAACTCGGCCTAATGTGGACCGAAGGGTGGCCGAGTTTGTGAAAATGCCGGGTTATCGGGAATGGGGTTAAAAAAAATAAGTACGAGTGTTTCCTCAGAAAATACTGTACTGTACTTGTATGTATTGTTTACTTGAGAATATAACAGAGAATAAACTGCCCAAATACCCTTAAACAAAGGAAAAGTACGTCCTTTATGAAGGCATAGAGCCTTTACTACATGAAAATGAAAATTAATGAATACACTGTGTACAGTAATTTACCTGATAAGACAGACCTCAGAAAAATACTTTATGAGAGCTTTTATACTTTTATAAAGCTGTCTATAATGAAAATTAATTAACTAAGGATTTTTTTGCCCTGCCAGGGTGTGCCCGAGTTATCCGGAGTGCCGGGTTATCGAGAGCCGAGTTTTCGAGGTTCTACTGTACTTACAATTTATAAAAACATAAAATGTCACAAACATAAAAAAACATTTTGTTTTTGTTTTTCCCTTCTGTTGTTTCAGTGACAGTCCAAAAACAATTTTCATACAAGGAGATGACCTTTTATTAAAGACTATTTAAAGTTGCATATCTTTTATATTATGCTGTTAAAATAAACTGTAGTTTATATTAAAATAAACTGTAGTTTATTTTAAAAGCATAATATAAAAAGAACTAGGCTATATATTAAAAACTGTCTAACAGAAAGATTCAAAAAAGAAAAAGACATAATAAAATATAAAATAAATTTTTGTAATAGAAAAATAAATCATAATAAATTTTATTTATCAACTGAAATATGAAAATGTTAAAATATGATCAGAACATTAAAAGAATATGCTAAATATAAAAAATAAAAATAATTTTCTTTAATCAGATTATTGGTAATATTATGTTAGCAAAATAGGGTGAATTATAAACATAAATGTATAATGCAAAAAACAAACTACAGTGAAACCTGGATCTATCCTTACCAAATGTATTGCTTTCCCAGAAGTATCATTCAATTTCTAGGATCTTTGAACAAATCTTATTTAATTACAGTTGGAAAAAACTGCTCAATTAAAATAAAATAAATAATGCAGAATTAATTTGTAAATTTTGGCAACAATAATAGTAAATACTAAGTACTGTACAAGTAATAGATAAAATATTTAAATATTTAATATGAAAAATCAGTCTACTAAAATATAATAGTTCATAATGCATCTTAATACAGTTTATGTTGTGTTAAAATGAGTTACAATGTAAAATGCAATTTAGTACATTCATAAAACTATCTATCCTATCTCTTCTACAAATTATTACTGGAAAACAAACTTTCAAGGACATATTTGTCATTCAAACCTCTGTACAATAAATTATTTACTTTGTAGTAATATTCTAAGAAATAAGCATAACTTTCAAAAATATTGAAAGAATAAAGCAGATAACTTTTTATGATGGATTGTAGTACTAAAGCCATTTAATTAATTACTAATTCTGTTGTTAAGTAAATAGAATATGAACTGAGTTTATTTGAAATAAGCAAATTTATTTTCAGTGTTATTTTAAAATATTTATCGTATAATATTTTTATGTAATAATATGTTAATTATAAAAATTAAAAGTTTGTTAAAATTTTATATTGATATTTTATTCAATTCCTATAAATTATACTTTTCTCTAAAAATTTTTGAGTGTAAATGGAGCTTTGCATAAGTCAGAAACTGTTTTGTCTGTGACTGAAATTTGAAACAACCACAAATCCACTAAACATGATTTCATGCAAATGTCTATAACTCAGCAAGGTTGATGCGATGAAACTCTAAAACTCAATTTATGAGCTAAAATATTCACAGTCAAAGGTCACCATGTAAAGTCTATTGCAGGTAAGCTGAAGTAAGCTGGTTGTGTTCTACATGTCAGTCAAGTCTCAGATTGCTGTCAGTTTACATTGATCTCTATGACAATTTTTTAATTTTAGATTTATATCAGTTTTAAACTTTTATCGCACAGTTTTAGTTTTCTACACCATGGAGCTCAGTTTCGGTTTCCTAGTAATCTGTATGGTCAGAAATACAAACACTTGCAGAAAAAAGATAATTATATTTTGAATAAATAATTTCAATCATATAACTATTTTAATCATTTCTAGCATAAAACCAATTTCCAGCACAAAAATTATCAGCTGGTTTTTTGTGCTGGAAATGGGTTTCATTTGCCTTGTTTATATGCTTTTCAATTTAACATAAACAGTATATGGAGCATTAGAATACAATAAATAAATTAGAATCTCATATTAAATGTTACTATAACAGATCATCAACTGATTCAACACTTTTTAATTTTTTTAATGCTAATAATAATTTATAGTTTATTAAAACAAATTTTTTTTGCATATTTTTATTAGAAAGAACATACTGATATTTCATTTTTTAAAAGCCTTTTTCATATTTTAGTATAATAATTCAAAATTGATTGCAGTTTAATTTATTAGGAAGGAACATCATTTCTGAAAAATAATTTTAATATGTTTTTAATAAATTGTAACAATTTATAAACATGCAATACAGAAATTTAACAAAAAACATCTATAAATTAAAAATTTTTACTAATAACTAATAAACAAAATAATAATGCCAGAAATGCCATTAAATAATATATAAAATCATAAATTAAAAATAAATATCATGTATTCAATGCTTCAATAGCAAAAAAAATTTGTGTGTGTCACAATAGTTTATTCAAATGTTTTCTGAAAACATATATATGTTACCGGCCAAACCCGATTTCAGGCCAAACTAGTTTATCCTACGCATGTGATATACTAGTTTAGCCTAGGTCAATCTAATTTGGCCTAAATACTTTAGGCTTAACTAGTTTGACCTAGGTCGAATTGATTTATGTACTACAAATAGGTGCCAGTGTAAAAAAAAATAATAATTTTGTGTAATTTGAAATGCCACCACAGTACACCTGGTGGTTAAAGTGTACCTAGGTAACCCCAATGGCAGTGCTTCGGTTAGGTTGGTTTGGTTAGGTTAACTAAATTTTTAGTAGACGTTTCCTTTTTTTTTCTTTTGTTTAAGAACTACCGTGAATCAATAACTAGTGACGTTAAACAATAGGCAGCTCCCCTCTGGGAGGAGTCTGCCGGGAGCACGAACAGTCTGTCATCGGGGTTACCTAGGTACACTTTAACCCACCCTGTAAAAATAAATAAAAGATTAAATATTTTATATATTACACTAAGAAACACAAACAAGTTCATTTTTACTTTTAGTTTGACTTTAAAAGTTATTTTTATTATTTCATTTGAATTTTTGAAAATATTTTTGAAAGTTAATTACCTTTAGAAGTGCATGGTTTAATAAAAAAATACAAACTGATAAGTACTGATTAACTTATTTTTATTTCATAGTTTTGTACAAAACACTTGTACTTGATTAGAAGTGACTCACTTATAATCAAGACTGTTTTTTATAATTAAGTAGACTATG